GAATGTTTTTTTGCTTCAAAACCCAAGTTCCAATAAAAATGTTAAGCAGTTATATACTGCCAGTTAAGAGATACGCAACCCAAGTACACACATACACACGAAAAAAACTTCTAGGATTAAAAGTATGAAACTTCTTAGTTGAACGCATGCGGTGCACATCAGAGCGAATTTGATGCACATTTTTTCCACTAATAAGTAAAAAGTTTAAAAAACTAGATAGAAAATATAAGCAATGTGGGTAATTTTTAAAGTTGTTTATTCATTCGTTCATTTCTGCATTTGTCTGGTTTCGAAACAGCCACCAGAAATATGAATCCTCCATACACACCTTGCATGATGTCGATGGGAGAAAAACAAATTAAAATTATCTCAAAATACTGTTATGAATTATTGATCCCCTTTTTGCCGAACTTTTTCTTGAAAAATTGAGTCTAGAATGAGCAGCTTTTCCTCCTCCAAAATCCTATAGTTGAGAGCGATTTTCGGAGAGTTGTTTAGAGAATGAATTTGCAAGATCTTGAACTTTTTCTTCTTTTAAAATCATGAAAAGTGTCAGGCGATCACTGGTTGACGTTTTTACAGGAAAAATGCTGCTTTAGTGTCCTTACTTTTTATTGGTACTCGCTTTTTACTCTCACTTCAGAGAGTAATTTTGCTGTTTGACATTTATACAGGAATATAAGAAAAGGACCGTTAAAAAGCCCAAAGTTGAAACTCCTTTCAGTTCTTTATTTTATTTCACTTCTTCTAATTGACTGCTAAAGCTCGCCAAAAATATTTGGCGTACTGTCTGCAGTGGTGTCAAGTTTGCGCCAATGCCCTCAGTGGCTTGCATTACTTCTGCACCAATTCAGCCTCATCAATTGCAAATTAATCTGTTAATATTTACTAAGTATGTGGCTAGATAGTGCCCGTGGGAATAAAGCATGCGCCAAACATCAGGTGTAATATAGCAGTTATTTCGTACACACGCAAAACATTGACGATAATTTAGCTGAGATTACGGTAGTTGCATATTTGTATGTATGTATGTACATAGTTTGCTTTTGAAGTTCCCAATGGAATGCCACCAATTTATTGCTTGTACATAGATAGCGATTTTGTTTTTATTATTTTTGTCACACATTTCCTTCATTGCTTTCTCTAGATTTTCACCGAGGTTGTGTAATAAAGTCTTAACGATGTACATACATATGTATATATACATTTATATACAAACATTCTCAGATAAAAACGATAAAGTATTCACTACAGTGACTCAAGAAAATAGTCATTCTACTAAGCTGAATTGCTTTTATAAAACAATTCATAAAAAAAAACATTCAGTTTTATAATTATTTTTCAAACTTATTTTAAACTGTTTTTACAAGCACTTATAGAAATACATTTTGGGTACCAGTAAAAGTCATAAATACAAAACTTCACATCACGAGTTCACGCTCCTTCACATACTTGCTTGCCTTGTCCCATCCATTTCATTTCTTGGAGGGCGCTGATGCCAGCCTTTGCCTTCACGAGAACATCAATAAGCCGGGCAGAAGCAGCTTCCTCATCAAGGGCGTGGATGTCCTTGAATAATGGTCCTTTAGTCGTTTCCCGTGGTCGTCATTAAAGGAATATGGATTCAACAGAGGTGTGGTTTCGCCTGCTCGCATCCGAACTGGTGTTGGGTTGGTGCGCAGAGGATACATGGTGTAAACATCGAAAGGCTGTGAGCTGCTTCAACCGGATGCAAAATAATCGTTTTTGGGATTGGGTGAATTGCGGTCAGAAACTTTCCCCACTTACGGGGACTTCTGCAAGCGGAACCATCATCCTAAGGCCGAGGTCACGCAATGAGCAGCTGAGCGGTGAGCGGCTTAAAATGAAAATATACGGCATACTACTGAAGTGAGTAAAGGCCACTCATCGCTTAGCCGCTCCTTACGTGGCCTCGCCCTTAGTGTCTCTAATTTGTTTATATCACATACCAACTTCAAACGAGGCGGGTATAACAGTAGTTTTCTAATTGGAGAATATAATCATGAGGAAACAAATACTTCCATTCATTGGAGATAAGTCTAAATAAATCATTTCGACTTATGCAAAAAAAGTCGAACTCCATTATTTTTGAGTTGTGCACTTTTTGAAGGTGGTGTGGGATATGTATGTATGTATATCTAAGTATGCACCAGTAAGAACATAGTTGAATTACATGAACCTAGGGATTCCAGAAAACCGGCCAGGCTCAACATCAGAAGCTAGTAAATTCAGAATACATGTTTTGGTCTTTAGGCTTTTACCTTGACCACTTACTACTACAACAAAACACAATGAACTTTACCTAGTAAAGGCTTCATTAATGGTGTCAAAGCATTAAATAGAATAAATAGATGTTCAATTTCTATAAATCTGTTGCAAAAGTCGACATTAATTACACATATTTTCCCAAAAAAAAATACAGAGAGTAGAATATAGTAGAATGGCAATCAACCATTCCATGATAATTTTCCAGGACAGCGGGTTTCACTGTAGTTTCCTCTGGATTACATTGATGTTTTTTTGTGAACCTGTGTTTTATTTAAATTTTGAAAATCCTTAGTAGTGGTTGCAACCAATCAAACAATAAAACAACCGTTAGTAAACAATAGCAAAAACCACATTTCTGAATGAATGAATGGCCTTCATAGTCACTGTTCCGTTGTACGTGCGCGAAAGTTTTCATATACACAATATATACACACATGTACATACATATGTATATTCTTATGTCGCACATTTGGCAACATTCGTCCTTCAACCATTGATACACGAGCTAGAATAAATAGTAGGTTATGTTTCTGCTGCAAATCTTGAGTATGCTTGACTCAGACCTCTGTAAGAGACGTGCTGCATAATAATACGTACGAAAAAAGAAAAGAAAGAAAAAAATATATGGAAAATATGATCCCAACAATGCCGCGGCAACTGGTACGACAATTACGTTAACGAGTACACATAATTTCATTGCTGGATACATTATCCAATAATTTACGAAGATAGGTTAAAGAAGTTCGATAGAAAAATGTGCAAGCTTAGCAAGTTGAGTTGATGGGGAAAGTAGTCAGGGAATTTAATGATTATTACTAGTGCGAATGCATGCACGTACGGGTAAATGCTACCACGTGAAAGTGGACTTAAATTTTAAATATGTATGCAACAAATGTTTGAATCCTTAAATATGTATGTATATACACCTGTAAATTAGATTTTAGCTGGTTCGGTAATGGGGACACATGCCTAGCGCTCGCTAAGATAGGATGATTTATATTTCTTTAGCTTAGCAACGTGTGGCAGAAGTGTTAGGCTTAACAGGTATTCAAGATGCAAAAGAAGACCACGATGCTGAGAAATATAATAGAATTCTTAGTTTCATACATGCGTACATGGATATGGGCAACTCCTAGCATTCGGACGTTTCTTTTAATTTTTTTGTCGGCAAAAAAAATAGATAATTTAAAACACTTTTAGGGCATGTAGTCGTACATATAATTGAAGGTTGAAGGCAGTACTTATGAGAACAAAATTTTGGAAGTTTGTATTCAAATTAATGGCCGTGTAATTGCTCTCGAAATTTATATGCGGGCGTTACACAAAATGGGAGGGATTTTGATATGACGAACAAAGCAACATATTTCCGAAAATTGCCATGTATGGAGAACACAATCTACGAGAATACTTTGGAGAATAATGAAGTTAACAACAAGTATTATAAAATCGAACCTAAAGGTTGAATTAACTTCAAAATAATTGTATGTGTACGTTCGGAACTCGGCGTTTGGTTGAGAAAACTGATTTTTTTTTTTTTAAGTGAGGTCGTCGTATTTTAATAAAAGACATAGGCTTAAAACTAAGGTTATTCAGAGCCATGTTTCAAGAAATAAGAAGAGCAAAGCAGATTTCTCTATTACGTGTGAAAGAAATATGAAAAAAATATACAGTGGTGAAAACATCAATAGGGAAGAGACACTTTAGCCTCTTTTTGACTATTTCGCTTTAGAGTATTTAATTTTATTGTTTTTTTTTTTATAAAAGTATAGCTCGTTATCTAGCAAAACCCATGTATGTCAAAATTTCAAACTTTGTGCAAAAATTAGGAAAAGTAATTTTTAGCAAAAAAAACCGACTTAAATTCTCATATAAAAAAAAATATATATATATATATACATATATCTCATGTTCCTCTGATCGGATCTTAACCAGATTAGTATGGGACCACCTCTGAGACATTACTTTTCCGAGGCAAAAAGAGTTATCGAAATCGTGTACACACATTCACACACATTTATAGGAGGTTATATAAGGAGTGTGGTGGTAACTCAGATTCAGGCTTTGTCATATTTAAAAATCTTTGTAACACAATTTAATGTACTTCAGATTCTGTAACATACTCTTGCACAAATACAAATGCGTAAACAAAAGTGTATAAATTTATTCAACAACAGAAACAGTCTCACATAAACATACAAAAAACCGCGTTATTACTATTTATCATTCCTGTATACATCCAAACATATATATATACATGTTCAAAATTCTAAGTACATATTTAAATAGGTACATAAGTAAGTTGTATTCATAATGCATGCATAGGTGCTTATAGTATGTACATATATTTAAAAAATACAAAATCTGGCAGCTACCTACAAACGAATTCTAGGTACTTCATCCAATACTCCTGGGCTACTTCAAGCGTTATATATATACATATATATGTGTACTTTAAAGTGTTTTCTACTTTGCAAATATTTACATTCTATCTACATAATTTTATCCTTAGTTTAGTAGTATGTTAACATTTGCATCGACAGCGTCTTGAGATTGGTTGCGTATACGCCCCAACGTATTTAAGCGGCGTAATAACAACCCAGACGCTGGATACAATTGTGTGCTGTGTTTGCAAATACAAAGCAAAGCAAAGCGTTGAAGGAATTTGATTATAAAGTTTTGCAACTGAATGTTTTGGCTGCTAGATTACTTACCCGCTTGCCACGTTTGCCGCGTGGACCTTTTTCGCCGGGCGGACCAGCTGGTCCAGCTGGCCCCACCTCACCACGTTCGCCAGGTACGCCTGGAGGACCTAGAAGAAAGATGTGCTGTTTAGTAAATGTATAAATTTGCATTCCATTTGCTTTTAAGGCTTGTGTTTGCGTATTCTAAATATATATGTACATATGTACATATAAACATAAGTGCACTACATACTACTAATACCGAAAAGTGTTGCTTAGATTTATGAAATGTTGTAAAAAAGTATTGAGATTTCGTTTATTATTTATGGTCAAATCGCAGTCTTTATAGAGCTGAACTATTAAGGTAGGTATGTCAAGAGTTTTCTTGAGATATGAGGCATATATGTAGTATGTATGAATGTACAACACAGAGGTTTTTGCTACAGTTAATCCTCTAGGCTAAGACTGTAATTTACTCAACTCCTGTATCCATATACATGCAAATGTATTTCAGAAATGATTGTTAGATCAGTAAAAAAGCCTTTTAAAATTAATTACATTGTTTCAATTACATATTTTCAAAACTACTTAATAAGAAGGACAGAGCACAATAGCAATGCCCGTTACATTTGCAAGCATATCGAAAACAAATTATCATACATATATCGTCGTTTAAAGTACAAAACCGCGTATCAATAAAATGCAAAACCGCATATGTGATGTTGCATAAATTATTTTCTAGAGGGTAGAAACACTCAAATTTCAAAATGGTTGTCTTTTCTATAAAGCAATCGCATTTCTAGCTAGTATATTTCAGAACGAATGGATAAGGCCAGAGCAAAGAGCTTGTGTAAGCAAATCCAATTTTTGGCAGCAAATGTCAGTTACGCGGTTTTGTAGAAACGACGATATGCACGCACGTAGAAAATTATTGGCACATCAACTGTAAACAATTGTAGTATATGGTTGATCAAACTTCCAACTTAACTGCAAAAATTCAACAGTCCAAAATTCCAATTACAAGAAATTTTCACCCTAAAAGTGCTTGAATTTGTACGAATGTGCAAAAAATCAACGTGATTTGAAAAAATGCATCAACCTTGCCATATATGGCTATTGAATGTGCTAATATGTATAGCAGTTATCATTGATAAGCTTTTATGTGCATACATAAAAGTCAGTGCAATATATGACAGCTGACACAAACTCTTCACATATTGCAATCTCATACAAGTGACACTTATCGATATTAATTTTGAGTCATGGTATTCTTTAAAAATAAATACATTTTTATTTGCTGCTACCGTAAAAATGGTAATACATTAAAATTTTAGTGGGTTTTCATAAGCATACGAACTGGAAAAATTTCCAACTTTTCCGTGCATTTCGCTGTCAAATTAAAACAGTGAAATTTTACTCTCTCGTTCTAACACCCAGAAAGGTCTTTTTGTTATTTCTCCGGAGTCAGTTTCAGAAATGAAAATTCAAAGCTATGACTGCAACTGAAAGAGGCCTAATAGCTTTTGAAAATATATTTCAAGTTGTTGCACTGGCAATTTTTATTACTGCCTTAGCTGCTGTCAAAACCTTCGAATATTGCCATGTGATTGATACTCATTGTGAATTTGTTTAAAATACATAATAAAAAAATATTGTTGAATTATGTATCAAAGAGTTTGAAACACATTTTTTTTTTTGAGAACATAACTGTTTAGTCATCCATAAAGGTAGTGTCACAGGATTGGGTATTTGCCCAAAATTAGGTGCAAATCGTTTCCCAATCGTATGAATGCACAAATAGTTTTCTTCATCCCAATCGCAAAAAACAATTTGTTAAAATTTTTCAATATATTTTACCAGTCGTCTGAGTACACAAAAAAAAATTTCGTCCCAATTTTTCCTTACTTTGTTCCAATAGCCCAATGCTCTTTTCAACCAAGTTATTATTTGGATTTTTCGCTGGTAAAGACACCGATTGTAAGAAATGTGACTAAAGTTGAACATTTGAAAACAAATTCGTATGTCTCGCTGTAGCTGAACGTGCAGAGAAGTGTTGCCGCGAATAATTTTTAGTGGTAGCCCAATTCCTTTAAAAAAAAGGCTAAAAAAGTCGTTGTGGCTAAAAATGGTAGCTAAAATTTTTTACTCACATATACATATATAAGTATACACGCAAACATTTTCAAAAAGTAATTGTATAGAAAAAAAATGAACTCTGGGAAAAAAGCTAATATTTTATCCAACCACTTTTTGTATAATTGGGGAAATATACGATACAAGCTTGCTGGCTCCATCAAGTGATTGTACCATCAGACTCGAAGCATGTAACTTACCAGCATGCTGGTACACATTTATTTCTTTACAAATGAGGTTGAGGAGAAAGATCGAAATGATTAGAGCCGAAATTTCATAATTTTTCTACCATTTTGTTAAACATTGTTTTTTTGTTTTTTTAATTCAGAACTGCAATAGCGCGAGCTTAATCTTCCACAAACACGGCTTTGACTCATATTGTGCAAGAAATATCCGCCAAAATACTTTTTGCTTAGAAAATTGAGCTAATTTCACCTCTCAAGACACCAGCATGCTGGTACAGTCATACAATTTTCAAATAGTTTTTGAAGTCGCACCAGCAGCTGGTACAATTACACCACAAGAACATACACGGTCAATCGATTTGATGGGCCATTTAACAAATTAAGCATGTTAGGGGCCGTAAACTCAGCTATTTTAAACTATAGTTAAGTCGTTAATAGATAAACTAACAGCCCTAACACTTTTACAGTATGTATGTATGTACAAAATTTTTAAATTTATGTGGCCAGAAAAACTATGTGGTAGCTAAATCTAGCCACCAAAGGGCTAAAACGGCAACACTGGTGCAGAGATGCTTGCGGTTATTTTTTGGCTTCCAGCAGGTTCGAGTACGAATACCGTCAGCGGCAGCACATACTTTTTTATATATTTTTTCTGTTTTTGGTTTTTCTTAACTACAAAAAGCATATGTGAAGGGCAGAGGCTAATCAAATGACGAAGAAAATTGATTCCAGTTGAACATTTGAGGACACATTTATAAAGCGGCTGTAGCTGAGTGTGCAGAGATGCTTGTTGTTATTTGCTAGCTTTCAGAAGATGCGGGTTCGAATCCCATAGAGGTAACGTGTTAAAATGGTCGTACAAATTTTTGTTTTGTATCTCCGCATTATTAAAAAGCATCTGTGAAGTGCAGAACATAATCGTATTCAAACGAAATAAAAAGTGTGGTTAATATTACCATATCACTATTGAAAATATCAACCAAGGCATTGTTAATATTAACCAAAAATCACGTAGATTTTTTTATTATTAACCCTATTTTTGGTGGATTTTTTCTCGGTGTAGTTATACCAATTGAGCCCTAATCGCCAAAAACCGTAAGCGATTTTTTTTTCCTTTCGAAAAGTCTCCGCGAAAAGTCTATCTGTAAAGTCAGTTTTATTCAAGTATACATATTGGCCATTATTTTCTACGACCTCTTGCCATTTTTTGGGTGGCTTCATATTTTANATTCAAGTATACATATTGGCCATTATTTTCTACGACCTCTTGCCATTTTTCGGGTGGCTTCATATTTTCATCGGTGCAGAACTTCTGTGGTTTATCGGCGAGGAACTTATCCAAGTAATTTTCAGCGGCACTTCCGTCGGTCAGATTTTTATCAAAAAGGAAGTTGTGCAAAAACCGAAACAAGTGAAAGTCAGAGAGTGTACGGTGGATGCATTAAAATATCTCAACTAAATTCCGTAGATTTGTTTGACCTGGCATTGACATGATGGAACCAAACTTAATTTCTGTTGCAAAATTCTGGTCGCTATTTCTTGATTGACATTGTAGCAGTTCATGATCGATAATTATTTTCCAATCCCATTAAACACTGAACATTTCCTTGTTTGCCGTCAGACCGGGCTTTAAAGTAATTTGTGGAAGGTCATCGGTCTTTGAAGATCATGATCGTTTCCGTTGCTTATTCTCGAACTCAAACAAATTTTAATCGCCCGTAATTCTTCTCTTTAAATATCCTTCTACTTCTTTGCGTTTCACTGATGGTCGATCAAATTTCTTTGCGTTAATTCATATGGCACTGAAACATTCCTACGAGAATTGTGTGATCCCGTCAGACTGTCAAATAAGTGATGGTGAAATGAGGGTTTTCAAGCCAACGTAATCTATGCACCAATTAAATGAATTTTCTTAAAGATGTGGAACAAATTTCCAGCATTAGCATACGCTCATACGAGCATTTTACCGCCCAAAGTTTTGCTTTAAAAGCACGAATATATAGGGGTATTCTCTGAGTCTTGCAAAGCCCTTGCACGGTGCACGGATTGCACGGTTTGCAAAGCTGTTCCATACGAAAACCGGTTTTTACCGTGCAATCCGTGCAATCTGTGCACCATGCAAGGGCTTTGCAAGACTCAGAGAATACCCCTAATGTATATGTACATATGCATTCGAGTGAATCAAACTCACATAAATAAGACCAAACTAATACACAGATTATGCCCGAAAATTCGTTAGCACAGCATCTTGTCATTTCTTTATCAAAATTCTAAGCAATATAGGTTAAATGCTATGTATCAGCAGTGTTGCCAATTGGCTTAAAAAAACGGCTAAAAGCAGCTAAAATGTTTCAACTGAAATTGGCATGTTTTATTTGAATAAAGTTGAAATGCCTTAAATTATTTTTTGTTAACAAAAAAAACTGTCGTTATACTTGATTAATTAAAGCTCTACATGAGAAGTCATGTTTGTATTACTTACATATATAAACATAGATCAATTACAAACATATAGGTTTTTTCTATAGAAAAATTTTGCTTTCTTAAATTGTAAAATTTGCACTAGGTTACTTTTCTTCCTGCAAAATGGCTATATTAGTAGATAGTATTGCATTTTTGCTAATTCGGAGCGCAATCTTTAGAAAAATAAACACGTAAAGCTGTCAAAAGGCTGAGGAAAATAGGGCAATATTATTTCGAGAAAAAATCCCGTATTTTATGTTCAAACAAGCCAAGCCGGTCTCTTGTTAAGTTTTTAACAATTGAGCTATGTAATTTTATTTTGATGTCCATATATTCGAAGCGTTCCC